GAAAGTTCCAGACATTTTAAATTTTATTGTTTGAAGCTGAAGTTGGTATCAGTTTTGCCTCTTGATGTTTCTGAAGGATTTGCCACACACTGTTTGGTCTCAAGGGCTCAGTTCTGAAGTGCTTTCTGTCTAGACAAGTGGAGTTGACCTCAATGAACTGATGTGCTTACCTGTCTGGTGGTATTGCATTGACATGTATATGTAGCTCTCAAATTTTGCAGCAAAATGTAGCTGAATTATTTCCAATAGTCCTTTTTTTTTTTTTCCCCACATAGTTATTATGTAATCTTAGCCCATATTTCTGTAAATTTTACTTTAGGAACTTTTCTGAGTTACATCGTAGTTTAAAATAGTAGTTGAAGTTACACTATCATCTTCTTGAAGGGTGTGATATTGGGTAAATTTCAGCTAAACTTTGCTGTGATGGTTTTTAGTAGATAATTTATGGGCCAGTCTGTTATTTTGTGTCTTTAGAGCATTGATTCAGTTTTAAGTGATCATTATCCTATTTTTGATAGGATATTGATTCAGTTTTAAGTGATCATTATACTATTCCAGTAGAATATGATGATGATGCCTTTCTTCAGATCCTTCACTCACTTTCTCTTTGACCCACCATCCATTTGCTTTGGAGAATGCACTAAACGAGTTGGACTTTCATAGGAAAGAAAGTCACATTACCAGTGTAAATTGCATTTTATCTGCTGTTTTGAAATAAACCTAGATCCTACATTCAGATAATTCTCTGATTATGAAGACTCTCCAAGATATGTGTCAATTAAGAGGGACAGATTTTGTAGGGCACAGCCTGTCATTGGATGTCAGTGGAAAGAGTTTGGCAAAGATAGAGCAGTGTTGGCCAGTTTCTTGATTTATATTTGCTGTTTTACCTAAGCCACTCCTAATGCAAACTGAAATGAGAACATTTGGAAGCAGATTTTGCAAGTATCAGGGAATGTAGTTCAAGGATGGATTTTCAGATGGAATTCCTATGGATAGGATAGTCTGGGAGGCACAAAAAGTCCATCATCAAACATATGCTAACCAGGAAGGCTCATAAAATATTGGTCAATTTAACCTGTGCATACCTAAGTAATGATACTTAAGTCAGAATTCTGACATAGTCAGTCTCAAAAATTCTATTCTCTCATTTCTGGAAGTTTCAAAGACCCATCAGGTCCCAAAGGACCTGTCAGGTGGTCTAGTCTGAGATCATAGACAATACTGATATAGACTTTGAGGTTCTTCAGGTTTGTAACAACACAGAGTTGTCTGGGGTGGTTAAATATGTACTGATAAATGATCTGTGGGCATTACTGGGCTTAAATGTTCTGGTAAGTGATGTGCCAGCTCAGGGTTTGGTCATTTAGGAAAGTGTTCATTGAGTAAAACCAGGAATAGGAAGCTGCTCAAGCTGGTGGCTTCTTTTATATTCATGGATAGAGATATTATAATCCCTCCACTTTGTCCTGGATGAATGCTTTTTCAGGAAGAATCCTAGAGCTGCCTATATCTTTCTTTATTTCCTAGACAGGAAAATGATTAATGTCAGCAAATAGTTCCCCCAAGGCCATTGGCATCCAGTAAGAGAACAAATTGCAGAACATTATCTCATTCCATGTAACTTTTCACATTTTTATTTGTGTTCGTTAAGCTGTCAAGCAGTTTTGAAAGGCTCATTTTGTTTTTCAGTCAGGAAAGCATTTCTGCCCTTGCTAAGAATTATGGTAAAGCTTATGTGAAACACTTGCAAAGTGTTATCTAGCTCAGCATTTTCTTTACAGAGGCACAAATATTTGCACCTCATTTTGTTTTCAGAAAATATGATATTTTCACGTCGGTTTTTTCTAATTTTCATTTTTAGGTAGTGCTCTCCTGAGTCAGGATAGAATTGCTCAGGTGCAGAACTGAGCTTTAGATTGATGGACACAACAATAATTAAGTTGCAATGTGTTTAATGAAGTTTTTCCTTGTTTAAAAAGCTCTTTCATATCCTGAAGTACTTTGGTTGAATTTCAGGTTCCATTGAGATGTTGTCAATTACAGACAGTTCCTGTTTCTCCAACACATTTATCCCTTATATGTAGATATAGATTTATTGCATTATGTGATTACATATATAAGAGCATAAAGTTTTTTCAACAACATATTACACAAATACAGAGGATTTTTATCCACACCAGATGTTGATATTTATATAGTGCAAAATCTGTGATATGGATTCCTTCTAGTGTTGTATTTAAGGCACTTGAGATGAAGTTTTTAATTTATTCTATGCAATTTCTTTTTCTTTTTAGCTTCCCCATGGGTGGATAAAAGCAGAACTCCTAACAAAATAGATCTGTATGACGTACGCAGAAGACCATGGTAATTTTCTTTCTAAAGATTTGAGATATCTATATATTTAACTTTCTAGGTACTACTGTAAAAGTCATTTTTTCTGATTATTTATATCTTATACTCCTTACTTTTCAATATTGTTATTTTGCTTTTAAAATTAGTTAATTCTTCTGAATAAACAATTCCCAAATCACACTCCCTTGTAATGCAATATCCACTATACTGAGTGATATGATTGTATTGCATGGACCTTTTCATAGGAGAATAACTAACAAACAGGTATTGATTTTGTGCCCAAATCAAATATAGTTCAGATTATTAGACTGAGCCATTCTTCCAGACTTTTGCAAAGTGATTAAAAATATGCCTCAGTGGTTTAAACCAGCAATAAAATCACCAGGTTGGTAAAGGACAGGAGAGCAGTGGGAATGTTTTTCATGCTTTTTTTCCTGTAAGCCTCTCAAGGCATAATGCATATTGATACTTGGATTCATACGAGTTGAATGCTTTTATTTTCAAAGGACGAAGTAATTTTCCCTAAGCTGGGCTGAATAACAATTCATCTGTCATCAAGATCTTTAGCTCTGAAACAGTATTCATGTTTTTTAGTTCTAAACATCTGAAAACAGTGAATTTTGATCAGTATATCCAACTTCCAGACTTCCCTAATGTGATTTAGGCTTTGTTTTACTTAGAAGGCACAGCAAGAGAGAAAATAATAGCACATGGGTTTTGCAGTAGCTAGAACAGGAGGATTTTGTTGGGTCGGTTAGATGGAGTTAGAGATCACACACGAAAAAATTCAATTTTGTCTCATTCATACCATTTATTTATTTCAGGTATATCCAAGGAGCTGCATCTCCCAAAGACATGCTGATTTTAGTTGATGCGTAAGTGTTGAATGTCTGAATATTGACATTAACCCTAACCCTAACCCTTAGATTAGCACTTAGATATGTTGAGCAAATCTCTGTATGGTGAAAAATAGGGAGGGGATTAAGATGTCTGTGCAAGGTTTAACAATCTTGGTATGAATAAATAAATACACAGGAAAAAAATGATTCCAAAAAATCCAAACCAAACATGAAAGTTATTTAAACTGGGGACAGCAAAGTGGGGATTTTTAATCCCTTTTGTATTTTTCTACTTTTTCCTTCTTAATTACTGAAGTAATCAAGTGAACATTACTCCTGTGCATGCCAAGATTTGTTGGAAAACACAAACCTAAAACCAAATTACTGGAAGCATTGCAGTAGATGCAGTCCATTTATTTATTTCAGGTATATCCAAGGAGCTGCATCTCCCAAAGACATGCTGATTTTAGTTGATGCGTAAGTGTTGAATGTCTGAATATTGACATTAACCCTAACCCTAACCCTTAGATTAGCACTTAGATATGTTGAGCAAATCTCTGTATGGTGAAAAATAGGGAGGGGATTAAGATGTCTGTGCAAGGTTTAACAATCTTGGTATGAATAAATAAATACACAGGAAAAAAATGATTCCAAAAAATCCAAACCAAACATGAAAGTTATTTAAACTGGGGACAGCAAAGTGGGGATTTTTAATCCCTTTTGTATTTTTCTACTTTTTCCTTCTTAATTACTGAAGTAATCAAGTGAACATTACTCCTGTGCATGCCAAGATTTGTTGGAAAACACAAACCTAAAACCAAATTACTAGAAGCATTGCAGAAGATGCAGTCATGATTTCATGACCCTGAAAGCTGAGACGTTCTGCAGACTTTGCATATTTTACCATATAGATTTAAAACATGACAAGTGTGGTTACTATAAAACATTACTTAAAAGTGAGCAAAGAAATGAATGCATGATTTCATGACCCTGAAAGCTGAGAAGTTCTGCAGACTTTGCATGTTTTACCATATAGATTTAAAACTTGACAAGTGTGGTTACTATAAAACATTGCATAAAATTGAGCGAAGAAATGAATAAAAGTTCTCTTTGCCTTGGCAAGGCTTCCTTGGTGTAGCTAATGCTGGGGGACTGAAGGAAGCATTGAAGCTGATGTGTCAGATTGCTTTCTGCTGGAAAACATCTCAGGCAAAGAACTTGCATTTAATGCTTTTACATGTGGTGAAGTGCTTTCATATCAGCAGTGAGTTTTACCAACATTTGTTATTTCATCACTTCAGCTCAGGTTGTGCCTTGAATCAAACAAGCTGTCATTTGTGTATCTGAAGATCTAAAGCTCTAAATCTGTGTGTAGGAGTATAAAATGTTTAGATAATGCATGGGTTGAAGGTGGGAAACTCTCAGATGTCTTGACAAGAAAAAGAGGAAAGATGTAGCATTAGAACTATCTAGGCCATAGGACTGGGCTTTGAATGCCAGTTTGGAATTAATGTCATAATTATTCATTGTGTAATAACATTAATGACGAGTTGGAGAACTCAGGAGACAGGTCGACAGTTTTAGTGTGAAAGTTGATGGGTGCTCTGGTTTTTCTTTGTACATTTTAAAAACATATTGCTTACTTTTGTATTGTCTTGTGGATTTTTGTCAGGAGTGGGAGTGTCAGTGGATTGACACTGAAGCTGATTCGCACCTCAGTCATTGAGATGTTGGAGACCTTGTCTGATGATGACTTTGTGAATGTAGTTTCAGTGAGTATCTGTTCTTTCTACAAAATTTGTATTGTCAACAAAGCCATAAGCAAATTATTGTTAATACCAGATGTGACATACTTGAGTGTTAACTTGCAAAGAGACTTAAAATATATTGCAAAAATGCCACATTTGGCTTTCGTTTTCTTATAAAGTGAAATGAAGGTCCCAGGTTTGTTATTATTTATAAGTTTGAGCAAAAGGCATAGCCAAATTCTCCTTTCTAATAGAGTCATAGAATCATCAAGGTTGGAGGAGACCTCTAAGATCATTGAGTCCAACCATGAACCTGTCACTGCTGGAACCCCCAAACCCTAACCCAGATCCTCCAGTGCCACATCAGACACCTCTGAAACACCTCCAGGGATGGTGACTGCACCACCTCCCTGGGCAATATCCCAGTGCTGAACACCACAACAGGGAAAACATTTCTCCTCACATCCAATCTGACTCTGCCCTGGCTCAGCTCAAGGCCATTCCCTCTCTTCTCTCCCTCAGCCCTGGCAGGACACACATCCCACACCTCTCTCCAGCCCTGGCAGGAGTTGCAGAGAGCCAGGAGGTCACCCCTGAACCTCTTCTCAAGGCTAAACAAACCCAATTCCCTCAGCCCTTCCTCACAGGACATGTTTTCCACACCTTTTATGAGCCTAATCTAATTGTCTGCATAACACATCTCCCATTAGATTGGTGTATGCAAATTCTCTTGAAATAATTAAGGGTTTCCAGGTTTTCCACACAGCATGTTGATTGATGCTGATAACAGAAGATGGACAGCCATAGATCTGACCTGCCAAAGAGATGTTGCTGTGAAACTCTACAGTTAGCAACTTGATGGGTAGCAAAGCAACTTTATTTCCATAATAAATAATACAATAGAGTGGAGAATCCATGAAGTAGTTAAAAATGCACATAATATATGTGTACAGAGACAGCACATGTGATGTGCAGGTCACAGGATTGTTGGGAGGAAAGTAGGGCTCTAAGGATTTTCAAATGAAGATGATGCTGACTTTTTCAAGGCTGGAATTTCAGCAGCTGAGATTTTTCAGAGCCTGATCTGAAGTTTCAGTGCTACCTATAATCACTATACTATACAAACTTGACTACCAGACAATGAAACCTCATATTCTAAGTAATGGAGTCTTTAAATTGTTCCTTAAAGTAGTGTGGGTTGTTGTTTTGGTTTGTTTATTTGTAGTTATTCTTGATGTTTGGGGGTTTTTTTGAGTAGTATTTTAGTCTTTCTAATACTTGTCTAGCTTTTAAAGTGCAAATCCCTGGTTTTCAAGACAGATGAAGGCAAAAATCCCTCGAAATAGGTCTGGGGAGGGGGAAGAAGGTATGGACAAATTTCAGTTTTCAGGCTGATACCTTGGATGTCATGCTTTAGCCTTGGGCAAGACTTTTTATTTTGTATTTTTTAGTAAACTGTTCAGCTGTAGAGCTTTGATTTTAAGGGTTTAGGATGGGAACATTGACATACTCTTAATGACAAGAGACAGCCTGACTGATGAGTAACTGGAATGATTTTGAGATAATTTTCAACTTCTACAGTGGTGGTGTAGCCAGCCTGCAGGGAGAAAGACCTGAAATATAACTAACAGCAACCTCTTTAAAGCCACTTATTGCTTCATCGTTTGTCAGTCTAGCTAGACCTTTCTCCAAGGAGCAGAGAAGCTCTTAATCACAATGGTGATTCCTTTATTAAACTTTTCAGCAGTGGATTAGAACATTTCCTTTAGTTTAAATTGTGGCGAAAGCAAAGAAACTATTTATTTTGTTATTATGAAAGGAAATAAGCTTTGCTGGAATGGTATTAGAGAGCTGAAATCTTGTTGTTAGGGTCACGGATTTTTAAAAGAAAAGTTTGTAGGCATAAAGTGATGGAAATTGATTGCTATGTTCAGTGGAGCTGTGCCAGCTTTCACTTCTGGAGAATCTGAACCCAAATACCTCTTGATATACACAACTTTCCAAACTCTTTCCTTACATTTGCTCCTAGCTGACCAGAAATAGTGTGTTTCAATGCTAAGCCTTCCTTAGGCTCCTGGTATTTTATTAGCTAAGGTTCAATGTTATTCTAGAGGGGCCCCAAGGCTGGGATTTGTGTCAAAAAAAGGATTAGAAATCTTCAAATATTTTCTACAGTCCGTTTTCCCAGTGGTTTATAACTTGCAGTATATAAGGACCTTCCTTTCTTTGAATGAATGTTGAGTCTCACATCAGATATTGAACTGCAGAACCAAAGAGGATGATTTGGTTGTGCTGTGTTCATCCTCAGAAGAAGGCAACACTCACAGAAATGTACATAATAGAGCATGACATCTCTAAATCTTTTATAAAATCCTATTTGGTGTTGTGCACTTCTCATTTAGAAGTCTGCATTAGATCCTTTCAGTATTGCAATTGTTTTTGTTTGAGCTATGTTTTCATGTATTTAGCTGACTTACAAATTGGAATTGTGGGGGACAAGGTGCTATGACATTTTATTTCTCAGACAGGAAATCATATGCTATAGATAGCAAACAAATGGTTGTACTACTACAGTGCATTCTGTAAGTGAGAGAAGTGAATGCAGAACTTTGGTCTTTTTTAAATTTCATTTTTCCTTTTTTTCAAAAAAGTTTTTAGTTTTATTTAGATTTTTCCAATGTAAATGATTCTATGATCACGATTCAGAGAATATTCTGTGATAGAGAAGACATGTCTAAAGTCCATCTCCAATGCTTTCTTAATAAATCCTAGACCCAAAATATCAACTTGACCACTGTGTTCTGGGTGAAATAAATTATTTATTCAACACATTTCATGTTACTGATTAAGAACATTTTCTCTTGAAGCATTCTGGTATTAAACATGATTGGCTAATAAAAAGTCCAAAAAGCTAGGTGAAATTTTTCAGTTAATACAATGTTATTGGATATATAAACACTAGCAGTGACTGGGAGTTATCTTCAATTTTTCTTTCCCTCGTGGATCTTTTGGCTAAAGAAGTGACAGTTGTTTTATGGCTTGTTAGCTTTAATAAACATAGAGCCTTTACTATGAGGTTTTGAGTTAACCAGAGAGCTGTTTTACTGCTAACCTCTGCCAAGATGTTGTCCCACAAAGCCCATATGTATGATGATTCATGCCCACAACTGAAAGACATGGATTTCAGTTCATGCCAATCACTCCTGGAAAGTGACAGGATGATTTAATGAACTGTGCTTCATATATGAAGAAATCCTATGGGAAAAAAAAAAAAAAAAAAGCTTACAAGTAGCTGTGTTGAAAACATTAGTTCTGCTGCTTGAACACAGTACTTGCATTTATTTCCAGGTTGAATGAACCAGTAAGTCATGTAAAGATAGCCAGGGGTTAATATGTCATGATTTCCTCTGGGATTAGCATGTTCCTTATCTGAAGTGTTGTGCTTTGTTGCAGGGAGAAACCTGCTGTGTGAAAGAGCTGAAATGTCTGAGTAATACAGCTGTTCTCCCACTAATCCCCTTCCAGGCTTTGATAGCAGAGTGGCAGATGATAGGGGGAGCAATTCCATCCCAGCACGTTGTGATTTAGTGACTTGGTTTCAGTTGTTGGCACAATGAACATAATTTGTTTGTGATTGTGGGTTGGCTGCAGTGTGCAGGAGAAATGTGTCTCAAATCTGTAGAGGTGTGGAAAGTCACACAAAGAAAACACCTCCCTTACAGCAACAGATGTGTTAAAGGTCAGGAGCTGCAGAACTGTTTAAAACCACTTAGCCTTTGTAAAAATCCAAACCATTATTTACTGTTTAGGGGCTGGGAATTAAATGTCATGAACAGAATCATACTCTGGGAAAATTGGAAGCTCATCTCCTGCTCTTGTGCAGCTCTGCACATCAAGTAAGCTCAGAGGGAAGGTGATTTCTGGATGAATTATTTCAGAGGAAAAGCTCTGCACCCATCCTGTGAAATTATTGTTGGGGGTAAAAGCTATATGTGGAAGACACACTCCTTTTCCCACTGATTTAAATAGTTTTTTCATATATCTCTATAGCTCAGTGGCTACAAACCTGTTTACTTTGCCTCCCTTACTCCCAAGCTTGTATGATCTTTATGCCTTCCTAATTGAAATATCTAAATATGATAATAGAGGGGGGAAAATTTGTAGAGTCTTTTCAATGTGTTGAAAGTGATTTATTTATTTATTCCCTTTCTGCTGCATGTTCCATCCTGTATTCTGCAGATCAGATTTCCCCTGTATATTCTTAAATATAGGGAAACATTCCCAGCAACATGCCATGGGTGGAAACCTTAGCCTAAAGTCCTAGTGAAGAGAGGAGGATGCTAGAGTTTGCAGCCAGGTAGCCTCTCATGCTAATCCTTTCTTTGCTAGCAATTTTGTCTGAGTGTAATTCTATTCAGTTGCTAAAAATATATTTGACCATATCTGTCCAGCAACAGATATGTTCACTAGTTAGGCTTTCTCTTATCCCAAGTGTACACAAAAAGTTCCTTGTTAAGTTCAGTTTAATGAGCCCTGCAGTATTGTCTGTGCAACAAGGCAGAACAGCAAATACTTACATCGATCAGACATATACACCATAGTCTATGACAAAGGTGAAAATGAAGTGTTACTTTTCTGTCCCAGTGATAATACTCCCTATGGTACTTGCTTGCAATTTTTTTCTTTAATATCTGGCTTAAAATAAAATGTATGTTAACCCAATATAACATAAAAACCATGGTGATGTTACTGCAGGGTGAAATCTTCTCTCACTGAGAATTACAGCTAGCACCAGGACCATCTCTAGAGGCTGTTTCCATGTTGAGCTCAGAACTGTGCTCAAATTATTAGGCATTTTTAACAGTACAGCCAGTCAGATCCCACACAGAAGCTACTCATGTTTGCATTCAAAGATCATCTGGCCATACCTGATATATTGCAACTGAATATAGAAAGAGACCACACATTTTAGCAGTTTTTTCTTGATTTCTCATTTAAACTGAACCTTGCAAGTAAACTTGAGA